GTTTCTGTTTGCCTGTGAGGATATCGCCGTCTATTTATACCACAAACATTGGGTTGAAGAAAAAAAAAAAAAAAAAAAAAAAAAAAAAAACGTTAGGGCTAAGGCGTGTTGATAAAATTGCATGTGAAATTGCCTTGACCGAATTTGCCACGTTAAAAAAAACTATGCTGAAACGTCAATAAAGTTCATGGATCTCACATTTTAAAAAATTGACTACATTTTAAGAGCCCGACTTTTTATTTTAGAAAGGGATTTTATGTACCTTTCTTTTTTTTGTTATATTATTTAATTTAGCATACAGATGAAGTTTTTAAATGGAAAAAAATAAATATCATCAACACTTTATCGAATATCATTTGTACTTTTTTTTATTTTCCATGTAGGGGGCATGTATGTCATCTATCTTTTTATAAAGGTGGACACTAAGAAAAAACAAGGCGATGAAATCGGTTGTTTTAAAAATACAACTAAATGGTAACAAGCCATAAGGCAGAAAGTTTTGCCTCTTAACATTTAGCTCACCTAAAAAAACAACAAACGCACTAATAGAATAACTAGTTTTAAGCTGAATTATTACACAACGGTTTTATCTAATTCAACAAAAAAAAACATATACAAATACAAAGATAACCAGTAAAATTTTGAGAATCACTGGATTTGAATAAACCGACATATTTTTTTTTAAAACCTGCCTGGGTGTGGGAACTCAGCTTCACACCAGTATCACGTGACGTGCAACGAGTAAAAACAATTCAAGCATCAAGATAAGAGCTCAGCCGTCTACATTATATCACCAGAGTCTTGGCCTTGAGATTTACATAACAGACATACGAGTGTGAATATGTCAGGGCAACCTTTTACCCTGCAGTAAGAATGTATGTCAATCTTTCGTTCCCACGATTTAAAAATGTTATTCTCAAAATAAAAAAAAACAACACATGTTTATACCCAAACCAAAAGAAATCTTACAAGGACGAGTAAGCTTAGCATTTGTATGAAAATAAAAATGTATATTTTTTTAAAAATCATCTTTCATACCAAAATTAACTATGTGTCGATTATTATTAACTAATACTTTCTGTACTAGAAAATGTAGCAATAACCCAAAAAACAGTCAAAATTTAGTTCAAAGTAAATATTTATAGCAGTAAACCTTTACAGGATTTTTTTATATTGATACTACAACACGCTTACAAACAAAGAAGATGGTTTTTTTTTTTGTTAAAGTTCGTCAGTTTTATGAACATGTTATTAAACACACTACACATTAGATACAACTTGACTAAAGGGTTATACTTGTATCTTGTATTTGAGAAAGTAAAATAAATATTTTAATCTTCCCTATGTGGGGCATCAGAAATCTATGTCTTTTGAATAATGCAGTTATTAACACATCTCACATGATAGAATGCTGAGCAACATAGATTGTGTGTAGTATGCTATGCTTTCTTTTATTTGTTATATAATTTAATTATGCTTGTGACCTATCTCATTTGTTAGTCAAAAAACTCGTCACTATATATGATATGTTGGTCACACGAGTCACCCCCACGTGTTAGGTGCTGACTAGCCCCTACGTTTAAATTCTAATCACATGACTCAGGTCTTCATTTCAGATCCAGATTGTGCTAGTGATCAGCTAAAATAAATAAGCTATTTTGTTAGCAACATGCTTTTTAAATGTTAAATTTATATCAAAAGTTTAATCTTGATTGCATTGCTCCATAAATCAGCTACTTTATATCAGCAGTTTTACCGTAATTTTAAAGTTCTCATGCCAGAAATCAACTGCCCTAATTGTTGCGGGAAGAAATGCAAAGTCAGTTACAGGCCTACATGTTTTTTTACCTACTCACGCGATAAAAAATTGTAATATCTCAAGGACAAGCTATGAGTGTAGAACGCAGATACCCACATTCTTATCTTGATGCACGTGTTGTTTTGCTCGGTTCATGTAAGACGATACCAGTGGGAAATGTAATTGTAATGTTCGCGCGATGGTGCTGCTAAAATGTGTCTGGATGCAAAATGTTGGTTTCTTTTTTTAATTATGTCTTGTGAACAAGGATTCTCAATTTGTTTTTGATGGATTCTATTTTAGAAAATAACTTGTTGGTCGATTATCCATATGTCTTGTGCACAAGGGTTCTCAATTTGTTTTCGATGGATTCTATTTTAAACAATTATGTCTTGTACACAAGGGTTCTCAATTTGTTTTCGATGGATTCAATTTTAGAAAATAACTTGTTGGTCGATTATCCATACGTCTTGTGAACAAGGGTTCTCAATTTGTTTCCGATGGATTCAATTTTAGAAAATAACTTGTTGGTCGATTATCCATATGTCTTGTGCACAAGGGTTCTCAATTTGTTTTCGATGGATTCTATTTTAGATAACAACTGGTTAGTCGATTATCCATATGTCTTGTGCACAAGGGTTCTCAATTTGTTTTCGATGGATTCTATTTTAGATATTAACTTGTTGGTCGATTATATATATGTTTTGTGCACAAGGGTTCTCAATTTGTTTTCGATGGATTCAATTTTAGAAAATAACTTGTTGGTCGATTATCCATATGTCTTGTGCACAAGGGTTCTCAATTTGTTTCCGATGGATTCAACTTTAGAAAATAACTTGTAGGTCGATTATCCATATGTCTTGTGCACAAGGGTTTTTAATTTGTTTTCGATGGATTCTATTTTAGATAACAACTTGGTGGTCGATTATCCATTGTAAATTTGATGGGTAGCGGTTTACAATATTTTAACAATAGAATAACTGATGGTGTTTTAGAAATACGTTTTAAAAATGTTTTCAAATGTAAACATGTATATATTTTTAAATATACAAACCCTTGTCCTAGTTTCGTCAGATCTTAATATTTCGATTATAAATTATCACCTTCCACTCTAGCCACTCCGACTGTTCTAACATGGGTTACAACAGTTATAAGTTCTGATAAGAGGTAAGGGGTTGGGTTAATGCCAGTGATTAACGGAAAGTGAGATGAAAGAATATTCAACCCTGAAATTGTTGGAGGTGGAGAATTAGTTAATTATTTGAAGCAAATATTATTAGGTAGGGGGAGAGGGTCGAATAATTAATTTAAAACAAAAAAGACATCCAGGAAAAATATAAACCACCGTTTTACTCGGCATTTATAAAAACATAATGTTTATTGTTAGTCCAAGAAATCAGGCCGAGGCTATGTAGATTTTAATTGTATTTCGAAGCAGCTAGCAGTGACGTAGCGAGGTCGGGTATCACCCGGTGCGGCACTTAATGGTGTCACCCCCCCCCCCCTCCCCCAGAGGCGTAGCGACCCTTTCCGGGAAAAACTTTCAAATTCTCGATTTGCACCACCCCCCCCTCAAACTTTCGATTTGCACCCACCCCTGAAACTTTCGATTTGCACCCCCCCTCAAACTTTCGATTTGCACACCCCCCCCCCCCTCAAACTTTCGATTTGCATCCCCCCTTTAAGTTTTTCTCTATATATTTTACTATTTTTTGCCTTGGTGTCACCCCCCTAAATGGTGTCACCCGGTGCGGTCCGCACCCCCCGCCACCCCCCCCCCCCCTCGCTACGCCTCTGGCAGCTAGTACTAAAGGGCAATAAATTACCTCCCATTTGTAAATCAATGCATAATTTTAATGGGAAACAACTTACAAAATAGTCACTGATTCCATTCAAGAAACATTTAATAATTAATACAAATATTTTTTTAAAAGCAAACACAACTATTTTTTTAATTTTAATTTGCATTTTTAATTTTGTTATTAAAAAGGTCTTGAATGTTAATTTTTATGTTTCAAAAAAATGTATCAGCAAATAAGTGTAAAAGTATAGCCTTTAAATATTTTAAATATTTTTAAGTATAAATAAAGTATAATCCAAGGTCAAGGAAGTCTGAAAATAAAACGTCAACACATTTTGGATCCCTAGTTTGGGACAACTGTTACAAATGAAATAAAAGTAAGCAATTTTACAGATGTATCTATCTTAATTACTTTTCATTGGTGCCTGAATTTATGTTTTTTCTGTTGTACGACTGAAGCGATAGGGATACGGCACCGAGAACACAGATACATTCTACTTGTATATCCTGCTACAGCACTACTAATACACAGACGTCCAGTTTTAATATATATGTATTTGTATTTATATATATTATTTCTAACCATAATTAGGGTCCCCACATTATTCATTTGCGTTTTCGCCTAACACTTCCTAATAGGAAAATAATAGGAAAAATACAAAATAATTATTTTATCAAATTAAAAACATATATATATATATATATATATATATATATATATATATATATATATATATATATATATATATATATATATATATATATATATACATATACATGTATATATATATATATACATATATATATATATATATATATATATATATATATATATATATATATATATATATATATATATATATATATATATTCCTGATGCACAAAATGAACCGTGCATCAACAACACTGTATTCAATGAATTAAACCATTAATTGATTCTTTTCACGCACAAAAGAGATATCCAGTTAAATGTCCCTTCTCCAGTTTTGAAATAATCTTTCACAACATATTGTACGCGCTGCGTGATCAAATTAATAATATGGTGGCAATGAAGTAAGGGGATTGAGTTTGAATCCCGTCTTAATTATTTTTTTGTATTAGTACAAATGGGATTAATGTTTAACGTATTATATTTTATTTTGGGTAAGTGTCAGGGATTAGGATTATGGAAAGGGTAAGGGCTAAAATTAAAGCTGATCACACTATCCCTTCATATGCCGATTTCACAGAAACTTGAATTATACCATACATATCAATAACGTCAATAAACATTTCATAATTAAACCAACTGTAATATTAGACTTCTGATGAAAGTTAGCTATATTATGTCTGGTTGTCACCCCTTGGATTGTATAACAATATGTGGTTCGCAGCCACGCCCACGCATTTTAAAGCCACTGC